TCGACGGCGCTTCCGGGTTTTTGGTTGCTTCCGGGTTTTCGGTTGGAAAGTGCTTCCGGGTTTTCAGTTGGAAAGCGGCGTTTGGGTGCTCACGCCTTAGTTTCATCGAAGAGAGGGGGGGCGGCTTCGAATGAAGAGCTGTCCCGATGGCGGTAGAGTCTCGTGTTACTCAGGTACCGGTCCATGGAAGAATAAATAATCGTGAAACCGGTCCCTGGTTCAAAAAAGGTTGGGGGCCACTGTTGTAGGTCATCTAATCCAACCCTCCGCCCTAGCAGGAGACCCTACACCATTTCTGACAAATGGCAGTCCAGTCTCTTCTTGAAAGTCTCAAGTGATGGCGCTCCCACAATTTCCAAAGGCAACTTCTGTTCCATGGGTTGATTGTTCTCACGGTCAGAAAGTTCCTCCTTATTTCCAGGTTGAATCTCTCCTTGTTCAGTTTCCATCCATTATTCCTTGTCTGGCCTTCGGGTGCTTTGGAAAATAGCCTGACCCCTTTCCTCCTCTCTGTGGCAGCCCCTCCAATATTGAATCATTTCTCTCCTGTCTCCCCTGGTCCTTCTCTTCACTAGACTAGCCAGGCCCAGTTCCTGCAACCGTTCATTGTATGTTTTAGCCTCCAGTCCCCTCATCATCCTGGTTGCTCTTCTCTGCACTTTTTCTAGAGTCTCAACATCTTTTTTATAGTGTGGTGGATGCAGGACTCTATGCTTTATAGCAGGGGTCCCCAACCACCAGGCCCCGGACCGGTACTGGTCCGTGGAACATTTTCTACCGGGCCGCCGGTTTGCTGGGCGCCGCCATCTTGTTTCAATGATAAAGTGCTTCCGGTGAGCTTTTCCGTTTGGAAAGCGGCGTTTGGGTCCTGAAGGAATCCTCGCGCCTTAGTTTCATCGAAGGGGGGGGGCGGCTTCGAACGAAACTAAGGCGCGAGGATTCTTTCAGCACCCAAGGCAAGGCGAGCCGAGCAACCGTCCCGAAGCCGTCCCGAAGCCCATCGACAAAGGTACAAAGGAGGAGTTGAAAGTGGCGGGGAGAAGCGGGGGACGGCTGGCTGGCCGGTTGCTCGGCTCGCCTTGCCTTGTCATGCGTGCTGATGCCTGTACCGGGCCGCGGATCATTTTGTGATGCCGGTAGCGGGCCGTGGCACAAAAAAGGTTGGGGTCCACTGCCCTACACCATTTCTGACAAATGGCAGTCCAATCTCTTCTTGAAAGTCTCAACTGATGGCGCTCCCACAACTTCCGAGGGCAACTCCTGTTCCATTGGTTGATTATTCTCTCACTGTCAGAAAGTTTCCCCTTATTTCCAGGTTGAATCTCTCCTTGTTCAGTTTCCATCCATTATTCCTTGTCTGGCCTTCGGGTGCTTTAGAAAATAGCTTGATTCCCCTTCCTCTCTGTGGCAGCCCCTCAAATACTGGAAGGCTGCTATCCTGTCTCTCCTGGTCCTTCTCTTCACTAGACTAACTAGGCCCAGTTCCTGCAACCATTCATCATACATTTTAGCCTCCAGTCCCCTAATCATCCTGGTTGCTCTTCTCTGCACTTTTTCTAGAGTCTCAACATCTTTTTTATAGTGTGGTGGATGCAGGACTCTATGCTTTATAGCAAGACCACACCTAGAGTACTGCATCCAGCTTTGTGGACTCGGCTCCCTGGATTCTCACCAATGGTCCTCTTAGCTGATGACTTCTGGGAGTTGAAGTCCATGGAGATGCTGCAACCATCGACAGTGTAAACAATGGTCATTGGTCACTTTTTTTTCAGGGCCATCGTAACTTTGAACATTCGTTAAACGGTTGTAAGTCAAGGATTGCCTGCACACAAGACTCCATTATACAGGTAGTTCTTGACTTAATGGCCACAACTGAGCCCCGACATTGTGGCTGCTAAGTGAAACTGTTTGTTCGGCGAGTTTTCCCTCATTTTACCACCTTTCCTACCACCGTTGCTAAGCGAATCACTGCAGCGGTTCACTTAAACCTCACGGTTGTTCAGTTAATTTGTATTTTCCTGCTGATATTGCCAGTCGGAAGGTCACCAAAAAAATGGGAATTCCTGGGATGCTGCGACCGTCGTAAATAGGAGTCCGTTGCCAAGTGGACTGAATTTCGACCACGTTGATGCTTCAACGGTGTTTCTGTGTGAAAAACAGTCATAAAATCCCTTTTTTTCAGCGCTGTGGTACACTTGAACGGTCACTAAATGAACAGTTGTAAGTCAAGGACTGCCTTTAGATGCTCAGAAAGGTTTTAGTCTTTCTTCGGCTGCTTTTAAGCTCCCACGTAGGCAGGGAAGAACCTGCCTCCTACCCCACAGGTCTCTAATCTTTTCCCAAAACTCCTCCACACCCAACTCATGGATAATATCTCTTACCTCCCCCAATTTATAACTTCCTGTTGTTTGTTCAGGAGCCTAAGGAAATATTCGGATAATTATACATCTCCTGCGATATAAACTTGCCTGACATGAAGTCGTCTTCCCTAGGGCTCCACCCATCATTGCAATCTTCTCCGGGGCCTGCAATTTATTAAAACATTTACCTTCTTCTTCTGCCAGGGTTTTGGAAATGTTGTAATCTATTAGCCCAGCTTTTTTTTCCATAACTTGCCTTCCGAATAGACCGCCCTGTCGTTTCTTCTAATCCCCTCTAATCCTAGTTGGGAATTTCAGACCCCACCTATGGAGAAGGGACTTTTTTTTTTTAAATAAATAAATAAAAAGTCCCTTTGGTTTCACCTTTTGCCTTTTTAAAAAGCTGGTGTTGTTTTTTGTTTGTTTGTTTGTTTGTTTCCTGGTGGAACGTGGTGTTCTGGCCTCGTTTGAATATTGCAGCTCACCTAAGGCAGATCGTTTGGAAGGCAAAAGGCGCTCCTTGGAAGCTGCTGCAGGGAAAATCAACCCCGATGAATTTCTTTGCCTATGAGAAATAAAACAGAATAGAATAATACAATACAATATAATACAATGCAATTACAGAATAGAGTAGTGTAGAGTAGAGTATGTAGAGTAGAATAGAATAGAAAATAGAATAGAACAATAGAATAGAATAGAATAGAATAGAATAGAATAGAATAGAATAGAATAGAATAGAATATATGACATAAGGATAGAGTAGAGTAGAGTAGAGTAGAGTAGAGTAGAATAGAATACAATACAATACAATACAATACAATAGAATGCAATAGAATACAATAGGAATGGAATGGAAAATAGAATAGAATAATACAATACAATACAATACAATTAAATAATAGAGTAGAGTAGTGCAGTGTAGAGTAGTACAGAATAAAATAAATAATAGAGTAGAGTAGAGTAGAGTAGAGTAGAGTAGAATAGAATAGAATAGAATAGAATAGAATAGAATAGAATAGAAATAGAATTAATGGAATGGAATGGAATGGAATGGAATGGAATGGAATAGAATAGAATAGAATAGAATAGAATAGAATAGAATAGAATAGAATTCTTTATTGGCCAAGTGTGATTGTACACACAAAGAATTTGTCTTCAGTGCATAAGCTCTCACAAAAGATATAAGTGATGAATCATGATCATAAATACATTCATCATGAATCATAAGATACAACACTTAGTCATAGTCATCAGATACTAAATAAGCAATCAACATAAATCATACTAGGAAAGTAAATAACACAATATAAACCGTAAAGATACAAGCAACAAAGTTATAGCCATAAGCAGAAAAGGAGACAGGTAATGGGAAAGGATGAGAAGAAGAATAGTAATACAGTCTTAGTAAATAGTCTGACAGTGTTATGGAAATTTGTTGTTTAGCAGAGCGATGGCACACAGGGGAAAAAAACGTCTGTGTGTCTAGTTGTTCTGGTGTGCAATGCCCTATATAACGTGATTTTTTAGTGTAGAAGTCGAAACACTTTATGTCCAGGCTGTGAGGGGTCTGTAGATGTAAAAATGAGATGTTTTTTGCTTTGCTTCTTGATTTGCAGATAACTGGCTGGGCCCAGGGGTGCATAAGTTTGACTTCGACTTCATCTTACCTCCGAGGATCCCGTCCACTTTCACCAGCCGCGTGGGAAGAATCAGTTACTTCCTCCAAGCGCTCTGTGCCACGCGGGAACTGATCCTCGGCAAGCAGAAGAAGTACATCTTGGTCCAAGGGATTTCCCTGTACAGCCAGGACACCGTGCAATCCAAGGTACAGGCGGTCTTCGACTTACAACCATTCGCTTAGGGACTGTTTGACGTTGCAACAGTACCAGCGGTGGGATCCTACGCGTTCCACTACCGGTTTGGCGATTGCGTGCATGTCAGGATTCCGGCAGTTACCCCCCGCCATTTAAATCACGAGTCTCGAGCCAAACTTCCAAAACTACAAAAGGATTTATTGGGAGTTAACATATCCAGCACTGCCTGGGTGTAGCCGACTCTGAAACCAGTGACTTCCAAGTGATCCTGGCACCTACCAGTGGTGGGATTCAAATTATTTTACTACCGGTTCTTGTGGGCGTGGCTCAGTGGGCGTGGGCAGGGGAAGGATATACTGCAAAATCCCCCTTCCCTCCGCACCCCACTAACCTGCTTTCCAGCTCCGTTCTCCTATGCAGGGCAACCAAAGGAGACCCACCCGATCAGCTGGGATTCGGGAGGCGGAGAAGAGATGGGGTTGGTGGGGCCAGTCAGAAGTGGGATTGGCCGCGTCTCCAGAACTACTCCAAATTTCCGCTACCGGTTCTCTACAACTGGCTGAATGCTACCTCTGATTAGGGGACTGGAGGCTAAAACATATGAAGAACGGTTGCAGGAACTGGGCCTGGCTAGTCTAGGGAAGAGAAGGACCAGGGGAGACAGGAGAGCGGACTTCCAATATTTGAGGAGGGGCTGCCACAGTGGTGGGATTAAATATTTTTTACTACTGGTTCTGTGGGTGTGGCTTGGTGGGCGTGGTAGGGGAAGGATACTGCAAAATCCCCCTTCCCTCCCCACCCCATTAACCTGCTTTCCAGCTCCATTCTCCTGTGCAGGGCAACCAAAGGAGACCCAGCTGATCAGCTCGATGGGAGGCGGAGAAGAGATGGGGTTGGCAGGGCCAGTCAGAGGTGGGATTGGCCGGTTCTCCGAACTGCTCAAAATTTCCACTACCAGTTCTCCAGAACTTGTCAGAACCGGCTGAATACCACCTCTGGTCTGCCACAAAGAGTTAATTTCCAAAGTACCCAAAGGCAGGATAAGAAGCAATGGATGGAAACTAATCAAGGAGAATGTCTATGTCTCTCCCAACTCTGATGAGGATGCTGCGGCTGCTGAGGTTCTCCATCCTCCGGGTCCTGGTTGTCCCAAAGGTGCTTTTTTCAAGAGGCAACTGGACTTTCTGTTTATTCCTTTGAAGATGTTTCGCTTCTCCTCCAAGAAGTTTCTTCCGCTCTGAGCTGAAGAGAAAAACCAACCTGGAGAAATCTCTTAATAGTGAGAACAATTAATCCGAGGAACGACTTGCCTTCAGACATTGCGGCCGCTCCATCAACGGAGGTTTTTAAGAAGAGACTGGACAAGGCATTTGTCTGGAATGGGAAAAGGAGCTCCTTGCTTGAACAGGGGGTTGGACTAGAAGACCTCCAAGGGTGCTTCCAACCCTGTGATTCTGCGCCAAGGCCACCTTGCAATGTTCATGGTTGAGTTCGAAGCGATGGACCTTGCCTCTGGAAATCCCAGCCCATTCTTCTCAATCTGGATCCTTCAGAGCAGGGGCGAGGGTCAAACTCAATTTCACTGAGGGCCACGTCAGGACAGTGGTTGACCTCAGGGGGCTGGCTGGGCGTGGCCAACTGGGTGGGCGTGGCCAGCTTGGCGCCATTTCCCCAAATGGCTGGCATGTTTCCTCTGCGCATTGGGTAGACTGGGCCGAAGCTACATTGGCCTGATCCAGAGGTGGTATTTAGCAGGTTCCGACCAGTTCTGGAGAAGCAGTAGCGGACATTTTGAGTAGTTTGGAGAACCGGCAAATCCCGCCTCTTGACTGGGCCCCACCCCCATCTATTCTCCGCCTCCTGAGTCCCAGCTGATTGGCTGGGTCTCCTTTGGTTGCCCTGCACAGGAGAATGGAGCTGGAAAGCAGGTTAGTGGGGTGGGGAGGGAATGCAATTTTGTAGTAACCTTCCCCTGCCACACCCACCAAGTCATGCCCAGAGAACCGGTAGTAAAAAAAAAATTGAATCCCATCACTGGCCTGATCTTTCCTCTTCGCATTGGGGAGATCAGGACAGCCCTGCGGGCCGTATCCAACCACTTCAGGGTCAGATTTGGCCCATGGACCTTGTGTTTGACACTTCTTCTTCAGAGGCATCAAACCAGGACGACTGGTGGTGGTACCTCAACCTGTCAGCCTTCTAAAGATAAGAAGTCCCTCAAGAGAATAAACTAGGACGAGTTCCTTTTGAGTGAGGAAGATGAGGCAGCTTTTAAAGCTTGTTTCACACCATCAAACGCTTGTAACACCTAACCAAGTGCTACGTCTTGTACTGTGGAACAGCAGCGAAGCAGGATTTGCAACCCTATAAGTAGACATGTGGTACTCAGCGCCATTTTGTACTCGGAAGCTTCGAGGCTGCCACATTCAGTGCCTGGGAATTTGGGAGGGGGGATTTCCTAGTGATGTAGGAGATTAGACACAACAACATTCTTTCTCAGAGTCAAGGACATGTTGCCCTGCACCTGGAGTGACTGGAGCAAGATCTCCAGTTGGGAGGAAGATTTGATTATGTCCTGTGATGGACTGTTGCAGGGGATGGATCTTTGAATTTTTCTTTTGGGAAGGGAAAACCCAGAATTCTCAGATTCGGGTTTTCCCAGTTGTGCCAATATAACATGGAACTTTGAGGAAATGCTTGTCTTGGAGTTTATTGGGTTGGAGTTGGACTGCTAGTTTCTAACCTTATTCTCCTCCGGATCTCATCAGCTTTTCCTTCAACATTGCCTTCTCTCCTTCCCATGTTTCAGTACCCTTTGGTGGTGGAAGTCCAGCAGGTCCTGGCGCACAACTGTTGTCTGCGGAACGCGCCCATCACCTTACGCCTTTCGCTGAGCAAGAGCATCTACCTTCCGGGCGACAACATCACCTTCACCACCGAAATCACCAACCCGACGGGCAAGTCCATCCGGAAGGTGGTCTTCGCCCTCCACTCGGTGGTCCTTTACAAAGCATTCAACTTCCGAGCGGAGCAGCGGACATTAGAGCAACACGAAGAGATGATGCGCCTGGAGTCGAACATCGAGCGGGGGCCTTGCGAATTCACCAAGATTCACAGCACCCTCTGCCTGCCCCAAGTGATGCCCGTCACCAGTGCTCAAAAATCGGACGACATCATGGAGATAGGTTACGAGCTGACGGGCACGGTCCACTTCCCCTGGTGCCTCAACCGGGTGGTGGCCAAGATCCCCATCGTGATCAGAAACGAGGCCACGGGGTCGCCCAAAGAAAGGAGGGAAGACCATGGTTCCCTCACCCCCCCACAAAACCCTCCGCCGTTTTTATCCAAATAGGTCGATATAGTTTTCAAAAATGGATAACTTTCTCCCTTCCCAGTTCCCGATTCATTAAAAGTTCGCTCTACGTTTCCACTTCCAAGAATCGCTGTCCACTCGGTTGGGTTTTACCAAACGTCCTCGAGTTACAACCGTCATGGAGTCCGCCTATTTACGGTCATAGGTCGTGAGAGTTATTAACCAGGTCATAATAGCAATAGCAGGGACATGGTGGCTCGGTGATGAAGACGCTGAGCTTGTCCATCAGAAAGGTCGTCAGTTCGGTGGTTCGAATCCCTAGCGCCGCGTAATGGAGTGAGCGCCAGTTTCTTGTCCCAGCTTCTGCCAACCTAGCCGTTCGAAAGCATGTAAAAAAAATGCAAGTAGAAAAATAGGCACCCCTTTGGTGGGAAGGTAACAGCGTTCAGTGCGCCTTCGGCGTTTAGTCATGCCGGCTACGTGACTACGGAACAACTTCGGACAGTGCTGGCTCTTCTTCGGCTTTGTAACGGAGATGAGCACCACCCCCTAGAGCCGGAAACGACTAGCACATATGTGCGAGAGGAACCTTTACATTTTGAATAGCCATAGAAATAGCACTTAGACTTATATACCGCTTCACAGTGCCTTACAGCCCTCTCTAAGCAGTTTACAGAATTATCATATTTCCCCCAACAATCTGGGTCCTCATTTTACCCACCTCGGAAAGAGGAATGGCTGAGTCAACCTTGACCCTGGTGGGATTCGAATTGCCAAATTGCAGGCAGCCGGCAGCCAGAGAAGTGGCCTGCAGTACTGCCCTCTAACCACTGCGTCATCATGGCTCATAATGCAATCAATCTGATCTTACGACCTTGTTTTGGAGTGGACGTTAAGCGAATCATCACATAGTGAAGCAAAGCTGCAGTCATTACATTAACTCATTGTTAGCTGTGCAACTTTTTTGCTGGAAGGAGGAAGTACAGGTCAACCTCAACTTATAGCCATTCATTTAGTGACCGTTCGGCACTAAATTAAAAAAGCAACTTATGACCATTTTTCGTCCTTATGACCACTTCAGCATCCCCCCCCCTGTGGTCACGTGATCAATATTCAGCCACTTGGCAACTGACTCATATTTACGACGGTTGCAGGGTCCTGGGGTTGTGTTTTGCGAACTTCCGACAAACCAAGTCAATGGGGAATGCCAGATTCACTTAACGACCGTGTTATTAACTTAGCAACAGGAGCAGGAAAGTTTCTGAAATGAGGCACAATTCGCTTGACAACTGTCTCGCTTACCGACACAAATTTCAGGCTCCATTTTGGTCGTAAGAGGAGGACTAACTGTAAGATCCATGGCATTGTCTAACCATCCCTAACTGAATACCGGTAAGCCTCGACTTACGACCACAATTCAGCCCAGTATTTATGTTGCTAAGCGAGACATTTGTTAAGGGACTCTTGCCCCATTTAACGACTTTTCTCGTTGCGTTTGTTAAGTGAATCACTGCAGCGGTTAAATTAGTCCCACAGTTGTTAAGCGAATTTGATTTCCTTCCTGACTTTGCTCATCGGAAGGTCACAAAACGGGACCATGGGACGCTGCGACCGTCATATATGTGAGTCAGTTATCCAGTGTCCGAATGTAAACCACGTGTAAATCGTGGGGATGCTGCAACAGTCATAAGTGTATAAAGCAGTCATAAGTCACTTTTTTTCGGTGCCATTCTAACTTCGAACGGACATAAATAAACTGTTGTAAGTTGAATATTACCTGAAGTCATAAGTCAGGGCCTCACTATATAGAGCCGTGATGGCGAACCTATGGCATGTGTGCCACAGGTGGCACGCAGAGCCATTTGTGAGGGCACGCGAACATGCGTGCACCTCCCAGCTGATTTGCAGCCTGTGTGAGGCCTTTTTCGCCCTCCTGGAGGCTTGAGGGAAGCCTCTGCAGCCTCGCAAGGCCGAAAAAGAGGCCTTCTGGAAATACCGGAAGTGCCGAAACGGCCCATTTTCAGCCTTCCAAAGCTCCAGAGGCTTCCCTTGAGCCTCCGGGAGGGTGAAAAATGGCCTCCTCTGAGCTCCAGAGGCCCTCCGGAGGCTGAAAACAAGCTTACATTTCTGGCAGGCCCATTTTTCGGCCTCCAAAGGCTGCAGAGGCCTCCTCCAGGCTCAAGAAGCCCTCTGGAGGCTGTAAACAGGCACTTCCGGTATTTCTGGCAGGCCCATTTTTCGGCCTCCCAAGGCTACAGAGGCTTTCCTCGAGCCTCTGGGAAGCCGAAAAAGGACTCAAACGGGCTGAAAATGAGCTGGGAGGCACGCGCATGCACAGTGCAGGTAAGGGGGCAAGGCGAGGATGTTGCACACGCATGCGCGGGGTGGGCGGGACGCATTGTATGGTGGGTGCCGGCACGCGCACTTTCGGCACACCACAACAAAAAGGTTTTGCCATCATTGATATAGAGTTTCCCATCTGTTTTTTTTTTAAATATAAATACAGTCGTAAGTCGCTTTTTTCACTGCTGTTGCAACTTCCAACAGTCACAAAATGAAATGATTGTAAGTCGAGAACTGCCTGTTCCTTGGATTAGACTGTTGTTGTGGTTTGCCGGCAGCCTGTGCAGACGGCAACGGAATCGGACAGTGGGGAAGAACGGGGACCAGTCAGGGAGTCTGGGGAGGATTCGGATGAGGGTCCTGCGTCTGATGCAGAGATGGGGCCAGGACCATCTGGGAGTGGGGTGCTGACTCCGGAGCCTCCGGACTCTGGCAGCAGCAAGGCAGAGGAACAAGGGGAGCCTGTTCCCAGTGTGTGCGTGCGCAGAGCTGCTAGAAGGTGAGAACAGCTGAGACAAAAGGAGCGACTTGGGAGTAAGGCTGGGAGGTGATTGCCCCTCCCATCAGGTATAAAGGACAGGCAAAGATGACGAAACCTTTGCAGGAAGCAAAGTCGTTTGCTCTGTTCAGATTAAACCTTGAAGCTCTGTGTGGACTTTGTATTTCGGTTGGTTTTTTAATAGTTACTTTGGGGCTTTAGTTGTTGGCAGCAATTCAAAGGAGAGAAAGGTGGGTGCTTATCTCAAGGGACTGTTTGGGACTCATTACGGTCTGGGAATGAACATAATTCCCAGCGCTGAAATAAAACAAGAGTTGTTTGGACTAAGCATGTGCTTAATTACGGTCTCAGGAATCCTTGGTCAGAACAACTGTGTCCTTGCTCTATTGATATACTTCAGTTCAGCCACTAAACAAAATGTTATAAATTGAGGACTACAGGTAGTCCTTGACTTACAACAGTTCATTTAGTGACTGTTCAAAGTTACAACAGCACTGAAAAGAGCGACTTAGGACCGTTTTTCACACCTATGACCATTGCAGCATCCCCAGGGTCACATGATCAAAATTCAGACGCTCTGCAACTGACTCGTATTTACAATGGTTGCAGTTGTCCCGGGGCCATGTGATCCTCTTTCGCGACTTTCCGACAAGCCAAGTCAACGGGGAATCCAGATTCACCTAAACCATGTTACTAAATGTAACAACTGCAGTGATTCACTTAGCAAACATGGCAGGAAACATCATAAAAGGGGGGCAAACCACACTTAATAAATGTCTCACTTAGCAACGTACATTTTGGGTGGCCGTAGGTCAAGAATACTTGTATTCTATGCAAGCTTGCATTTTTAATCCAGAGCTGTGTTTTTCAACTGTTCGAAGACGAATGGAGTTCAACTCCCAGGAATGGAGTTCAACTCCCAGGAATGGAGTTCACCTCCCAGAATTGACGTCAACTCCCAGAATGGACGTCAACTCCCAGAATGGACGTCAACTCCCAGGAATGGACGTCAACTCCCAGAATGGACGTCAACTCCCAGAATGGACGTCAACTCCCGGAATGGACTTCGACTCCAGGGAATGGACGTCAACTCCCGGAATGGACTTCGACTCCAGGGAATGGACGTCAACTCCCAGAATGGACGTCAACTCCCAGAATGGACGTCAACTCCCAGAATGGACTTCAACTCCCGGAATGGACTTCGACTCCAAGGAATGGACGTCAACTCCCAGAATGGACGTCAACTCCCAGAATGGACTTTGACTCCCAGAATGGACTTCAACTCCCAGAATTCCCCAGCCAGCCATGCTGAGCAGGGAATTCTGGGAGTTGAAGTCCACACATCTTCAGGTTGCTGTTTTTAAAACCAGAATCTCATTGCTGATTTGTACCAGGACAAAGTTCCCTTTGACCTACTTCCTGGGATCTCCAGCATCTTGGTGTAGGCTTCACCTGTCAAGTTGCTCTACCTGTGTTTTCACCCTCTCCGCCCCTGCACCAATCCCACATTGGCCAAGCCAAGGTGACTCCTAGATCTGGGCTCGCCTACTCCTCGTAGGCTTAAAACTTCCCCTGTGTAAACGGGAACACGTTTGTATCAGGAGTCTGTCCACAAGCCATCTGGAGGGACCATCATCCGATATAACAAGACCCAGGTAATTTTGATGTGACGGATTGTGTTATTATTCTGGCTGGGTTGTCCTGTGTGGCTATAATCTTTTTGGCAACTTTTAAAGCTGCTGGAGTCCCAGAAATGGTGTGAAGACTCAGAGATCCTTGACCCAATCAGAATTTGATTCAATAAGATAGATGCACCATGTGCAGAAAAGGGAAGATTGCAAGGGGCCTGTAGACCAAGACTGAAGTTCTCCAGATCTTACAGATTTACAGATTAACAGAGTTGGAAGGGATCTTGTAGGTCATCTAGTCCAACCCCCTGCCTAAGCAGGAGACCCTAAACCATTTCTGACAGATGGCGGTCCAGTCCCTTCTTGAAAGCTTCCAATGATGAAGGTCCCACAACTTCCGAAGGCAACTTCTGTTCCATGGGTTGATTGTTCTCACTGTCAGGAAATTCCTCTTTATTTACATGTTGAATCTCTCCTTGTTCAGTTTCCATCCATTGTTCCTTGTCTGGCCTACAGGAGCTTTAGAAAATAGCTTGACCCACTCCTGTCAGTGGCAGCCCCTCAAATATTGGAAGACTGCTATCCTGTCTCCCCTGGTCCTTCTCTTCCCTAGACTAGCCAGGCCCAGTTCCTTCAACCGTTCTTCATATGTTTTAGTCTCCAGTCCCCTCATCATCCTGGTTGCTCTTCTCTGCACTCTTTCTAGAGTCTCAACATCTTTTTATAATGTGGTGAACAAAACTGGATGCAGTACTCTAGGTGTGGTCTTACTAAGACTTTATAGAATGGTATTAGTATTAGTACAGAATAATAAAAACAAGGACAAATAGGCTGAAAAACAGCTTCTATCCCAGGGCAGTAGGTAGCTCTTTTGAATTCTGCTGTATAGTGCAGTGTTGGTGCGGTGTCGGGGGTTTCCGGTTCAATGTGTGAAGGGTGAAGGATGTGTGGTTGTGTTTATTTTCATGGTCATGGTCATGATGTACACTGAAGATGGCATTTGATTTCATTGTATGAGGTGCAATGACAATAAAGTAAAGTAACTGATTAGTACCTCCTGTAATCTTGATTGTATGCCTCTGTTAATGCAATTTAGGATTGCATTAGCATTTTTGGCTGCCACTGCACAGGGCTGGCTCCTATTTAGCTGGTTGTCCACTAAGACTCCAAGGTCCCTCTCACAGTTCCTGCTATTGAGCCTGGTTTCACCCAGTCTATATGTGTCCTTTGGGTTTTTCTTGCCTAAGTGTAGGGCTTTCCTTTTCTCTACATTGAATTTCATTTTGTTAGATACAGCCCAGTGTTCAACTCTGTTGAGATCCATCTGGATCTTGAGCCTATCATTTAGGGTGTTGGCTATTCCTGCCAGCTTAGTATAATCCACAAATTTGGTACGTTCCCCTTCTATTCCCTCATCTAAGTCATCTTGGCTTCTCCTAAGATGCTAGAATTATTTAACCTGAGAAGAAGAGGATTAAATGGCATTTTGTGGAAGGGAGCTTTGATGCTTGGATTCAGATCAAGGATTCTGCCGCCTGGAAAGTCCCTCAAGTCTGTTTCCTCCCCCACTTTTTTTTTTTAATTTACAAAATCTACATTTTAAAGACTTCAAAAGGGTATCTGTTCAGCTTTTATCTCCTCCTCTCTTTTTATTTTATGTTATTTATATTTATTTGCCAAGCATGAATTAGCGAACATATAGTTGGAACATGATTATGATTACGTGAAATGGGTACGAATAAAAGGGAGACATTAGGACAGGGGCGGTAGGCACGTTGGTACGCTTTCGCACGCCCCCTTACAAACCTCTTAGGAATGGAGTGAGGTCCATGGTAGAATAGAATAGAATAGAATAGAATAGAATAGAATAGAATAGAATAGAATAGAACATAATATAGAATAGAATAGAATAGAATAGAATAGAACAGAACATAGAATAGAATAGAATAGAATAGAATAGAACAGAACAGAATATAGAATAAAATAAAATAGAATAGAATAGAATAGAATAGAATAGAATAGAATAGAATAGAATAGAATAGAATATAGAATAGAATATAGAATAGAATACTAGAAAATAGAATAGAATAGAATAGAATAGAATAGAATAGAACAGAACAGAGCAGAACAGAACAGAACAGAACAGAACAGAACAGAATGGAATAGAATAGAATTCTTTATTGGCCAAGTGTGATTGGACACACAAGGAATTTGTCTTGGTGCAAATGCTCTCAGTGTACATAAAAGAAAAGATACATTCATCAAGAGTCAAGAATCATCAGGTACAACAGTTAATGATAGTCATAGGGTACAATAAGCAATCAAATCATATTAGGAAACAGTCAATATAAATCGTAAGAATACAAGCGACAACGTTACAGTCATACAGTCACAAGTGGGAGGGGATGGGTGATAAGGATTGATGAGAAGATTAATAGTAATAGAAGTGCAGACTTAGTAAATAGTTGGACAGTGTTGAGGGAATTTTTTGTTTAATTTAGAGGGTCTAAGGTTAAAGTTTTGGGGGTTTGGGGAAGAAACCACAGAGTCAGGTAAGGCATTCCAGACGTTGACCACTCTGTTGTTGAAGACGTATTTCCTGCAATCGAATTTGGAACAGTTGACCTTGATTTTGTATCTATTGTGTGATCGTGTATTGTTGTGGTTGAAGCTGAAGAAATCATTGACAGGTAGGACAGATAATTTTATGTACTACGCTTAGATCAGACCGAAGGTGGCGTAGTTCTAGGTTGTCTAATCCCAAAATTTCAAGTCTGGTATAAGGTATTCTGTTGCGAGCAGAAGAATGGAGTCCTCCAAAGTGGTCAGTGTCGACCTCCAAAGGTGGATTAGTCCTTAACCACAATTGACCACAATTGAGCCCAAAAGACAGGCAGACAAACAGTATTATACTTCTCTAGCATTGTTTCCATGTTTATTTGACTCCGATGACAGGTGATGAAACGGGCTTTTTCAGAAAGTGACTCAGCTGCAAGAGACCAACAATACAGGACAGCTGCAAACTTGTGCAACTGGGACGTTCGTGCGGTGGTGTGTCAAATGCATTTGTTGGGTCTCCAGGACTACAAAGAAGTTGGCTGTGGTCTAGCAACATTTCCTTACAAAAAGTCTGAAAGTTGGGGCACTAATGTGGGTTCTCTAAGGTGTCCAACTTCTTCTTGGAAATACAGGAGTACGTATCACCATAAAAAGGTAGGTCCGTGGTGAAGATCACGCTGGTCGATCAGAAACGTTGGCAGTTCAGCGGTTCGAATCCCTAGCTCCGCGTCACGTTCCTTGTCCCAGCTTCTGCCAACCTAGCAGTTCGAAAGCACGTTAAAAAAAATGCAAGTAGAAAAATAGGGACCCCTTTGGTGGGAAGGTAACAGCGTTCTGTGCGCCTTTGGTGTTTAGTCATGCCGGCCACATGACCACGGAGACGTCTTCGGACAGCGCTGGCTCTTCGGCTTTGTGACGGAGATGAGCACTGCCCCCTAGAGCCGGAAACAACCACTAGCACGTATGTGCGAGGGGAAACTTTACCTTATCACCACATATTTTGGGGGAAATGTGGACCTGAAAGAGCATAACCAAGGAACCCAACTCAGATCACCTCTCAGCCAGCCATGGAGAAGTCTTCTTCTGAAGTCTTCTTTCCTTCTCTCTTGGCTAAGATGACCATGGAAGGGATGGTGCAAGAGAGAGAGTCGCCATGAAGACTAAGAGCAACCTTGCGTGCTGGTTTTTGGAGTTGCTCAATGCGACAAAACATCGTGGGCAGACATTTGGAAAAACGGGTTTCTTTCCCAACAAATTCAAATTCTTGCAAGATGAGAACAATGTCTTCTCTTGGTCCTGGGTCCAGAACATTCTTCTCCCGCCCAAATGGTACGCCTGATCTGCAAATCCAGTGAGGCGGTGAGGCAGAAGCATTCTTGAGGTTGCTTACCCATACCATCGTTGAAGGTAGACTGCGCCTACGCATGGAGGAATTTATGCACTAAGTCTCTCCCTGCATTTTCGATGTGACCCATGGTCCTCCTACACTTCTTCTGAGCCAACCAGGTGCCTGGGTGATGTCCCTCAAAGACACTGGAAGCGAGACGGTGACCTTCCCGAGTTATTCATCTTCAGCAATGAATAATCCAAGGTAGACTATTCCTAGGCATGGAAGTGCCACGTTGCTGTCCCAGCTGTAGACTTGTAAGGAAATGTTGCCAGATCAGAGCCAAGATCTTGGTAGTCCTGGAGGCCCAACAAATGCATTGACACACCAACACACCCAGTTGCAGACGTTTGTGGCTTTTCCTGTATTGTTGGCCTCTTGCATCCTGGGCTTGAGATCAATTTCATTTCTAAGAAAATATTCTACCTGGCTGCAGTTGAAGATGAGGGAAAAAAAGGCTTTCTCGTTGGAGAACGTTCCCATGGATTGGCTCCAACTTTGAGTCACTCTCTTGGATGAACATCAATTGGATGGCTGCTGCATTGTGACATGGAGCAGAAACAATTGGCTAACAGGTCACGTTGTCCTTCTTCCTTCTCTCTCTCTCTTTTTTTTATTTGTCAATTACTTACAAGGTAATAGGTATAAGCATAAACATAGTTATGGATACATGAAATGGATACATATAAGAAAAATAAAAAGAAACAATAGGACAGGGACGGTAGGCACGTTGGTGCACTTATGCACGTCCCCTACAGACCTCTTAGGAAAGGGGTGAGGTCAATAGTAGACAGTCTAAGGTTAAAGTTTTTGGGGTTTGGGGAAGAAACCACAGAGTCAGGTAGAGTATTCCAGACATTGACCACTCTGTTGCTGAAGTCGGATTTCCTGCAATCAAGTTTGGTGCGGTTAACCTTGAGTTTGTATCTATTGTTTGCATTTCCCCCACCCGACTTCAAGGACATGGCATGGCCTCCCAGCCGCAGCATTAACAACCATTTGGTTGTTAAATAAACGGCCATAACTCAAAGGCTGCTTGGATTAGATTTTGAGACCTCTAGTAGTCTTTCATTACAACTTCAAACTTTTCTTTTACTTAGGATTTTATAGAGTTTTTTGAGAACATGCCTCACTAATGCTTCAGCAAACCATGGTTTACAGCATGCACAAACCTAGTCAAATATTTATGTCAGCCAGTCTAATGTCTGATAGAGTGTTTTATGCCAGCCAGCCCAAAATTTGCCCCTTTGCAGGATATGCCCTTCCGTCTCATTTGTTTCCTGCACACTGTCTAGTTTTCTTTCCTTTTTAATGATATTGCTGTGAACCATGCATAATACATTCAGATTATTTCAACACAGTGGTATTTGTACAGTATGGAGTAATGATGATGACCCTTTTAATGTTTGGATAATCTAAAATCATTGCAGATGTTTTTTTAAAAAGGAGAGAAACATTCTACCAGCACTAATTAGGACTTGAAATGGCAGGGTTAATGAGCATAAAATTATTTAGCTTTTTCATCCAGAGCTAAATATAGCATTTAGGGGGGGAAATACTGCAGATTGTTTCAATCGTTGTCGTACAGTAAAGATTTCTGTCTTAAATTTAGTATTAAAGTCTCCACCGTATTGTTACTTAATACCATTAAAATATTATTCAATTACTAAGTATAATGACATTTAATCTTATATTAAAGTATTCTGGCATTTTAGAATCCTAATAGGCAGGCCTCTGCTAGGTAACACCCCAAAATTAACAATTAAAAAAGACATAAAAAAAATCTGGATAGTGGATGTGGCATTAACTGAAGACAGCAGAAAAGAAGAGTAAGGAGTGGAGAAAATCACAAAATACAGAAAGACCTGCAAATAGAAGTAGAACGACTGTGGTGAAAGAAAGCAAAGATAGGATCAACAGTGATTAGGTGCCTTGGGTGCAACCCCCAAATAACTGGAGCATCACATAAACACCATCGGCATTGACAAATTCCCATCAGTCAATTGCAAAAGGCAGCTTGACTCAAAAAGGTGACATAACTATCTCCAACCTCCACATCTGTCTATTCCCAGGTTCTTGGGAAAGATTTAATAGATGGAGAAAAGATGCCAAATCTAATCTGAACATCTGGCTGACTGTATGACCAACCATATTAATTTACTTTGTTATGCCATGCCGATGGATGGATGCATGCATGTATGGACAAAGGGAGGGAGGGAAGGAGGGACAGAGAGATTGATGGATTGATGGACAGAGGGAAGGATGGATGGAGAGAATGAGGGAGGGAGAGAAGGGAAGGATGAAGGGAGGGAGGGAGGGAAGGAAGGATGATGGATCAATGGGTTGATGGATCAATAAGATAGGTACTGTAAGTGGATGGATTGTGGATGCATGAATGCATGGGCGGAGGGATGGAGGGAGGGAGGAGAGAGGGAGGGAACGAAGGAACGATGGAGGGAGGGAGGGAAGGAAGGATTGATGGACAGAGGGGAGAGGGAGAGAAGGATGGAAGGACAAAGGGAGGGAGGGAAGGATGATGGATCGATGAGTTGATGGATTGATAAGATAGGTATTATAAGTGGATAGATGGATGGAGGGATGCATGGAAGGAAGGAGGGAGAAAGATGATGGATCAATGGATCGGTGGATAGATAAGACAGAAGTGAACGGAGGAATGGAGGGATTGGTAGTAAACTACGGATTGTGTTCTCTTGCAGTTCAACCAGAGTTCCTCATGGCCAATGAAGCGGAGAACCAGAATGTTACCAAGGCAGAGGTCAGTTTCCAAACTCTTCGTTCAGAAAATGATGGTTACCAGGAATACTGTTGCATTGTTTGCGGAGTCCACGGCACGTCTTTATAGACTCCGGCCACAGCTCCTCCAACTTGGTGCCTCTGGCTAGGTTGGAAGCATTCCTTTTCGTCGTGATCTTTGTTTTCTAGCAGAGGAGAATGGGATCAGTAATCCCAAGCTATCCACCGAGACGATGCTTGGCCAAAATCGCAAAGAAACGCAAATACAGGTATTCCTTGGCTTACAACCACGATAGGTTGTAACCCTGAATTTCTGTTGCTAAATAAGGGATTGCCAAGTAAGTCGTGCCCAATTTCCTCCATAATTTACTTAAGATACCCCTCTACAGGTAGTCCCAGACTTATGACAGTTCATTTAGTGACTATTCTGACCAAGGCTTATGGAAACACTAACAAACACACGTTAGTCCCAAAGCCCTTTTTTCTTTATTTCAATGGCTGTGGATTTTAGTCATTCACAGCCTGTAATGAGTCTAACACAGTTTGTTAAATAGTCCCATGGAAGTCTGCCAAAGTCCTTCAGGATAAGTCTGATAAGCACCCACCTTTATCTCCCTTGAAATGCTACCAACAACTAAATTTCCAATTAGCTATACAAGGCCAACCGGAGCACAAATTCAACACAGAGCTTCAGGTGTCGAACTGACCAGTACAAACAAAGTTGCTTCCTGCAAAGGCTCGTGTCCCTTTGCTCCTCTTTTATGTCTTATGAGAGAGCCAATCACCTCGAAGCCTGAGTCGTCCCTTTTGTCTTAACTGTTCTTGCCTTCTGGCAGCTCTGTACATGCACGCACTGGGAACAGGCTCCCCCTGTTCCTCTGCCTCACTGATGTCAGATTCTGGAGGCTCCGGAGTTGGCACATAACTCCAAGATGGCCCTGGCTGCATCTCTGTATCAGATGCAGGACCCTCGTCCGAGTCGTCCCCAGAATCCTGGACTGGCCCATGTTCCTCCCCACTGTGCAACTCTGCTACTGTCCCCACAGGCTGCCAGTGGACCACAACAACGCTAAAAATCGTGACATGAGCGGTTTTTATACTTACGACCATTGCAGCATCCCTTTTCTGACCAAGGCTTCCAAGACTATAATTATGCACACGCTTATTTTAAAATCAAGTCTTGTTTTATTGCAATGCTGGGAATTATTTTCATTCCCAGCCGGGAATGAATCTCAAATAGTACCTTGAGATAAGCACCCACCTTTCTTTCCTGTGAAGTGCCAATAACAGAATTTCCAATCAACTAGAAAAAAAAACAACCGAAGTACAAAGAGCTTCAAGAACGAATCTGAACCAAATGAATGACTTTGCTTCCTGCAAAGGTTTCATCATCTTTGCCTGTCCTTTATACCTTATGGGAGGAGCAATCACCTCCCAGCCTTACTCCCAAGTTGCCCCTTTTGTCTTAGCTGCTCTTGCCTTCTAGCAGCTCTGCGCACATGCACACTGGGAACAGGCTCCCCTTGTTCCTCTGCCTCGCTGCTGCCAGACACCGGAGGCTCCAGAGGCAGCACCCCACTCCCAGATGGTCCTGGCCCCATCTCTGCATTGGACGCGGGACCCTCGTCCGAGTCCTCCCCAGACTCCCTGACTGATCCCCGTTCTTCCCCACTGTCCGATTCCGCTGTTGTCTGCACCGGCTGCTGGCGAACCACAACAATCCCCATGGTCATGTGATCAAAATTCAGATGCTTGGCAACCGTCTCATATTTATGACGATTGCAGTGTCCCGGAGTCACGTGATCCCCTTTTGCGACCGTCTGATGAGCAAAGTCAACAGGGAAACCGGATTCACTTAACAACCATGTCACTCACTTAACAACTCCATCGATTCCTTGAACAACTGTGGCAAGAAGGGTTATAAAATTTGGGGCAAAACTCACTTTCAACACTGTCTCGCTTAGCAACAGACATTTTGGGCTGAGTTGTGGTCATAAGTTGAAGACTATCTTTCTCTTAAGGTTAAATGTCTCAAAAGTTGTCCTGGAAAAGTCCTTCCGCTTATGGTGAGAAGAAAAAAATAATAATGTTCTATTTATTTTGAAATGCAGAGTTAAAAATGTACAAAATGACGAACTGAATTTCACAATGGAGGGTTAATGTTTCACCTAAGTAAATATTAATGTCTGGATGGATTTTTCCATAGAAAATCTGCTGTAATGAACAATTTTTGTTTGTCCTTTGTCTTTCATGGAAGCTCTCAACGACTCTGCAAAACACAATCTGTGAAGCCCCCATTATAACCACAACTGATTAAGTTCCTGCCAGTTGCATCCCAGCTGTGATGCAACTGGCACGAACTTAATCAGTTGTGGTTAAGTTAATAACCACTAGTTAAGTTAATAACCACTTACGTCCGCAGCTGGAAGCAAATTTTCTGTTGCTAAGCCAGGCGATCGTTAAGTCAGCCGCACCTGAGGTTACGTCCCTTCTGCCGTGGTTGTTCAGGGTATCACGGCAGTTGTTAAGCGAGTCACGCAATCGTTAAGCGAATTAGTCTTTTCCCCTTGATTTTGGTCATCAGATGGGATGATCGCCAATGCCGATCGCGTGATTTGCCAGCACCGTAAACCCATGCCGGTGGCAAGCGACCAAATTTTAATCACATAGCCAGAAGGATACGGCAATCATTGTAAGTGTGAGGACGGGTAACTTCGAACGGTCGTGAAACGAGTCGTTGTAAGTCGAGGACTACTCAGATAGCAAGGGGAGTGGGGGAATCCCCAGATGGAGACCTTCCATCCACCCCAGCCACAAAGGGCAACACTCAGAAATGATGGGAGTTGTAGTCCGTGCAATCTAGAAGTATATCTTTGGAAGCCACAGATCTCTTGGGCGAGGGAACCAGGTGAGATCCAACTCTCTTGCTTTCCTTCAGAACATCGTGACCAGGATCACCAACCTGCCCTTGGTCAGCTCCGCGTACGACGTTTGGTCCTCCGTGTACCAGTATGCCAAGACGACCTACCCTTGCGTCAACACCGCCTGCAACATTGTCGAGATGGTGGCCGCGGTGGCTGTGGGCAGTGCCCGCGGAGGGGCCCAACCTCTCCTGCCCCATCTTGAGCCTCAGAGTGAGTCCAAATGAGCCCAGTTGCTGGGTGGGCATTGTCAATTCGTAAAACATTCCTACGCCTGTTTTAGTAGTTGCCATAAAAAAAAAAGTGGGGGTGGAGGAGGAAGGAAATCTGGAAGAGGCAGTGCAGCATTTTGGAAGCAAAAGTACATTCCAACTCTTATCTTTAAAAGATTGTAACTTAAAATACCAGAGCTTTTGCCCGGGAATATATTTAATTGGAGAACGTGATTGACGACACCCAGCCTGTGATCGTACTCAATTGGAGAATCTGATTTATGACATATCCAACGGGGAGGGGGGAAACAGGGTCACAGGGGACTGTAAATTACATAGGCCAGAGTTGGCTTCATACAGAGCAGGGCCAGTATGTCCCTTCTAATAAATCCTTTGAAGTTGGTTGAAGTTTGGCTCGAGAATCATGAGTTAATTAGGGCGATTGCTGGAATCCTGACAGGCATGGCCATAGTGGGCCTAGTCGGCCTCCTGCACCATGGCAGGGGGGCTGTTTTTGCTCTCCCCAGGCTCCAGAAGCTTTCGTTGAGCCTCTGTGAGGGTGAAAATGGCCTCCCCCAGGCTCCGGAGACCGTCCTGTCTGCAACTCCCAGGAGGCCTATTTTTCACCCTCCCCAGAGCCTCTTTGTGGGGCCTGTACTTACCTGGCGTCCAAAATGTGCCACGAGGGGACTCCTGGAATGGGTGGAGTGGGCAGGGTGGGGCCAACCAGGGGTGGGATTTATCAGTTCGCCGAACCGCTCATTAAAAATGATAAAATTAGGTACTGGTTCACCCGGACCAGGGTGAAATGGTAGCAGCCCACACCCTGACCTGCCCCCTTTATAGAGTCCAGTTGGGTGTCTTCAGCACCTTTACTCAGGGTAGAAGGTCGAGCGCGGTCCAGTTCCAAGCATCCTTTGGCTGCCATCAAAATTTCTAGTCCTCATGGCATAAACCAGAGGTGGGATTCAGCTGGTTCTTAAATTTTGAGTCGTTCGGAGAACCGGCAAATCCCGCCTCTGACTGGCCCCGCCAAGCCCATCTATTCTCCGCCTCCCAAGTCCCAGCTGATCGGCTGGGTATCCTTTGGTTGCCCTGCACAGGAGAACGGAGCTGGAAAGCAGGTTAGTGGGGTGGGGGAGGGAAGGGGGATTTTGCAGTACCCTTCCCCTGCCACGCCCACCAAGCCAAGCCACACCCACAGAACCAGTAGTAAAACTTTTTGAATCTCATCACCGGCGTCAACGTTTCTTGGCAAACCCCATTTCACTTCCCTCCCGGGCTTCCGTCTCCTTCTTTGGAAGGGAATGCGTGGGACGTTCTCATCTCTTTTTTTTTCTTCCTCTCATTCTCCTGCTTGGCGGTTTAATTCAGGGGGGTTTATTAACCTCCTGCACAGGGTGGGCTTCAAACATTTGCGCAAGGGGTTTTCTGCCCTGGTTGCTGGGTGTACGTAGTTGGCCTCCTGCACCACAGCGGGTGGGGAGGGCATTTTCACCCTCCCCAGACTCCTGAGGCTTTCCTCGAGCCTCCAGGAGGGCGAAAACGGCCTCTCTGGGGTCCGGAGGCTCTCTGGAAGCTGGAAACGGGCCCATTTCCAGCCTTACGGAACCTCCAGGAGGCCCGTTTTTCACCCTCCCCGAGCCTCTGAGCAGGCCCTCAGCAATTGCCACCCAAAATGGGCCACGTGGGGGCTCCTGGGAGGGGTGGGTGGAGTGGGGCAGGGCAGGGCCAGGATTTGGCGGTTCGCTGAACTAGCCATAAAACCGCCATTAAAATTAGCTACCGGTTCATGCGAACCGGGGCAAACCAGTAGTAGCCCACCGCTGCTCCTGCTGAATTTGTGATCGAACAATGTGATCGAACCTTTTGGTCTCTGGAAGAAAAGCTCAAAAGCCGCCCCGGTCTGTGCAATTCTGTAAAATATCCAGCAAAAAACCTTTTTAGCGAAAATCCCTGTTTGCAAACGCCTTTTTAAGAAATCTGAACTAATTTAGAATTCACGTCGTCTTTTCTCGGTTTAATTAGTTAATAAAAAGAAAAACACCCAATCCACTTTTCTTTGATAAAAAGAGGATGTTTTCAGCCAAATAGGAACCCTTTTAGTTCTTTCACGAGGAATCAAGAAATGGACGGCCTAAATGATTTTTAAATAAATCGTCATAGATTAGGGAATGTGGGTTTTCTTTTCAATCTGAAATAATACCAGCGTTTCAGACTGAAACATAACGCGAGGCTGGTTTGACTTAAAGCCAAACGTTTTAAAATGTTTCCCCCTCTTCCTCCCTCTTTCCTAGTTGCAACCGTGAACGAATATGCTTGCAAAGGATTGGACAGACTGGAGAAAAAACTGCCAATTCTTCAACAACCAACTTACCAGGTTAGATAAATTTGCAAAGTTCCCCAAAACACACCTTGCTGGCTGGGGAATTCTGGGAATTGAAGTCCATGAGTTGTAAACGGGCCATCGTACGCTGAGAGTATATGCACCAAAGACAAATTCCTTGTGTTCCAATCACACTTGGCCAAATAAAGAATTCTATTCTATTCTATTCTATTCTATTCTATTCTATTCTATTCTGTTCTGTTCTGTTCTGTTCTGTTCTGTTCTATTTTCTATTCTATTTCATTTTCTATTCTATTCCATTTTCTATTCTATTTTCTATTCTATTCTATTTTCTATTCTATTCTGTTTTCTATATTCTATGCTATTTTCTATTGTATTCTGTTTACTTTTCTATTGTTTCTCTTCTCTTCTCTTCTTCTCTTCTCTTCTCTTCTCTCTCTTCTTCTATTCTATTCTATTCTATTCTATTCTATTCTATTCTATTCTATTCTATTCTGTTTTCTATTCTATTGTATTCTTTTCCATTCCATTCTATTCTCTATTCTTATTCTGTTTTCTGTTCTATTTTCTTTTCTATTCTATTTTCTATTCTATTCTATTATTTCTCCACCCCTTTTCTAGATGATTGAAACTACAAGTAATCCTCCACTTACGACCACAATTGAGCCCAAAAATTATGTTTTACAAGGGAGAATATTTTCAAATAACCTTTGCCCTATTTCACAACTTTTCTCGCCATACTTGTTCAGTGAATCACTGTCAGCTGTCAAATTAGTAACAACGGTCGTTAAGTAAACCTGGCCTCCCCATTGGCTTTGTTTGTCAGAAGGACGCAAAAGGGGATCATATGACCCCAGGACACTGCAACCGTCACAAATGTGAGTCAGGTGTAAATCACGTGACCATGGGGATGCTCCAACGGTTTACACCTGTGAAATATGGTTATAAGTCACTTTTTTCAGTGTCTTGGTAACTTTGAAGGGTCACTAAATGAACTGTTGTAAAAAGAAGACTACCTGTAATTCTCATTTGCTCCAGAGGGTAAGACAAGATAAATAGAACAAAAAATTCAAGAATGTGGATATAGATTAGATATTTATAGGAGCTCCTTCTTCATGGCCAGAGTTCTCAATCAGTGGAAGAGGCCCCTTCCTCGTCACTGGAGGTTTTTTGGTCATATAGTGAATCAGGGCAATCTATAGAGGGTTGGACTGGATGACCTCAGAGCTCCCTTTCAACACCATGGTTCCAGAGATTCTTTTGAAAAAGGTACAATTAAAAGACGAGGGAGTGGGGGGAAAAACAGTGAAAAGCACATTTTTCCCCAGCAATTAACATCCGGAGAAGCAGGAAACTGAATCTGATAAAGAAACAATGAAGAAACTCCACCCTTGGCTGGCCAAGTTCCTATCACCAAGTTTAGAGAACTCCAAGGGGTCTATTATGTTTTTGGAAATGCAGATGTTCCTCAATTTACAATCATAATGCAGCCAGCTCATGACAGTCGTAACTCATGACAGTCATAAAGCAGGTCGGTTGCGTGATTCCCGCCCCCCGATTTTAAGACTTTTTTGAGGCAGTCATTAAACGAACACAGCAGTTGTTAAATGAATGTTGAGGTTTTGTCCAAAAAAGGGGATATAACTGCTGCTTTTCGACAAAACTGTTGTGAACCACGGTCAAACAGCTATACGCGTCACTCCACCGACCTGTTTTACAACCATCGTGACAAGTAGCTGGAATATGGTCATAAGCTGAGGACTACTTAAGGGAGGAAGGTGACTGTCTGAACTTCAGAACTGGGTTGTAACTTCCTTTTTACAGGCAGGTCGTACCTTCAAACGGTTGCTAAGTGATTGGTCGTAGCTCAAGGATAAAGTCACTTTCCACGGTCGCTTTCTGGTTTGACTTGGGAGTTTTCCAACTCAACCATTTTCTGGTTCTTGCTCAAATATTATGAGTTCTACCTTGGACTTTGACGAGCGTCCTGTTCTGACCTGGGCTTCCCCTACAGCACAAAGCCCCCTCCTCCTCCCAATAAAACCCCTTTTATTTAGTTTACAGTGAATTCCTCTCCAGAAGAAGTCCCGACCAATAGTCCTTCAAGAGATTTCACAACTACAGACCTTTATCAGGCTTGGAGAGTTACCAGGCCGATATCTTTCAGTTGCCACACTGTAGCAGACAATGCTTGGCAAGAATGCAGGAACAGATCTTCACCCAAATGAACTAATTATCTCCTGCAAAACCCCACTCCCCTTTCATTCCTTTTTTATTCCCTATGGGAGGATCCATTCGCTATCTACCTGTGGCTTTACTCCCAAGTCAACCCTTGTTCCTTAGCTGTTCCCTTCTCCTGGCAGCTGTGTGCATGTGCACACTGGGAACAGGCTCCAGCTGTTCTTCTGCCTCCCTGATCTCCGACTCCGAAAGCAGCTGATAACTGTCAGATGGCCCCGGCCCCATCTCTGCCTCCGACGCAGAGCCCTTGTCAGAGCCTTCCCCAGACTCCAGGACTGGCCCATGTCCCTCCCCAACCTCCTCACTGTCCGAATCTGCCGCCAGCTCTGCTGGCCACTGGTGGACCACAACAAGACCTTCCTTGCCATTGAATGGCCACCCAATTATTCTCGCTCAGCCTTTGATCTTCTTCCTCCTCCTTCTAGGTCTTTGAAGATGGCGTCACCTTGACCAAGACGGTGGTTTCGTCCACCGTCCAGGCAGCTGGTGAAGCCAAGGAACGCATGACCCAGAAAGTGACCAAAGCTGTTGACCTTACCAGGGACATTGTCCAGGACAGCATCACCTTGACCAAATCTGTGGTGAGCACCACCGTCAACACGGCCCGGAACGCTGCCAACGAAGCCAAGGGCCTCATGACTCACCACGCGGCTGACATGGTCAACCTGGGCAAGGAGACCATGAATGAGGGCGTTGACCTTACTCGATCGGTGGTGTCCAACACGGTCAAGGCTGCCCGTCAAGTGCAGAGCGCTGGGGCTCTCCAGGAGGGCGTGGAGATGACATCTTTGTTTCGGCAAGCCGTGGCCAGCGGAGTGGACACCTTGTTGGATAAGACAGAAGAGATGGTGGATTATTACCTTCCCATGTCAGGAGAAGAACTTGGTAAGAGCAGAGGCACCACCA